GAAAACCAAGCCAGAAGTGTAAGAAAAATCTCTCATGTATATAACAAATCCTGATGATTAGTCTTTTAGGATTCTATTGCTTTGAAATAAATAAAAAGTGAATCAGCAGAAGGTGGCAGCTCTTGAGCTATAATGTTTTATAATATAGATGAAGAATAGCAATAAAACTTGGAATAACTAATTGGTTTATCAGTGAAGACAGGACCTCCTTGGGTAAGAACTCAAAGGAACCTCAAAGAACCTTGAATGGAGTGAAATTGTTTTTTAAAATAATGGTTCCACTGTGGATCACAAATAACTTGGCTTTATGTCAGCCAGAAAGATTTCTTGAGTTAGCTAGGCTCTGCAAGGTTTACTTTTTTTTAAGGAAGTAATGACTTTACTTGCCTGGAGAGCCAGTTTGGTGTAGTGGTTAAGATACCAGGCTAGAAACTGAGAGGCTGTGATTCCTAGTCTCGCTTTAGGTACAAAGCCAGCTGGGTGACCTCGGGCACTGTCTCTCGGGCCTAGGAAGGAGGCAACAGGCAAACCACTTCCAAAATCTTGCCAAGAAAACTGCCTGGACTTGTCCAGGCAGTTGCCAGGCATCAACAATGACTCGAAGGCACACACACACACACACACACACACACACACACAAGACTTTACTGGGTAGGCAATTTATTTCAATGCAGTATTTTAAGTTACTTAGTTTCGTAACATTTGGAAAGTTTGTTTTATTTTTTCTTTATTGTTGTGCCCAATAGTTAACATTCTGTATACTATATGCTTTGTTGAACTGAATTGAGGACATTTGTTATTTTATTTATTAATAGTTTGTATATTTTTGACAATATACAAACTATTATAAATTATAAATATACAATATACAATATACAAAATTATAAATTATAAAGCCATAGGATATTGGCTAATTCTTCATTTGCAATTCAATTCACAGTCATATACTAAGACTACAAGTGTATCAGAACAGCACATTTACATTGCTAAAATATGTATAGGAAGCAAATAATTTAGAATTTTTAGCATCTTATTATATGTCTACTAATTTTTAGTTGCCTTGAATTAGCAGATATTATTTTTTTAATTTCAGAAGGAAACTAATAATAGCTGGTACCCACTATATGCTGTATCCTCCAAAATACATTGTTTCTCTGCACAAGAATTCACAAAATAATATTAAACTAGGTCTTATTAAGGCCAATGAAAGTACACAGAGCAGAATTCTGTATCATGAACAATTTAGGGAGGAGGAGAAAGCTACTTTGTTTTCCAAATCTCTCTGCAAGCCTTTAACCCTGCTTGTTATCTGCTTATAGGCCAGGAATTGGGGATCTACTAGAACAGTGTTTGAAATGTTACTAGGGGAATTGCAAAAGAATAATACATTAATGAAAATCACTGATGCTCTCCTTTGTCCAGCAGGGCTCTGCTGCATCTCAATTCCCCCACTAAAAGAATGAGCCCTTCCTTCTGTACAGGGGCAAAGCTGGATCCAACAAATTAGAAATAATCCTTTCCATGGTTATTGGTATTTTATCTATTCTGTTGCAGACTCAGCTGTACATTTAGGGGTTCTAGTGAACAAAGGCTGATCTAATTAACTGCAGTTCGTGAACAGGTTTAACATCTGGATAAATATCTTCATGTAATACCCTGTCTGGTTATCTGCTTATTTTCAATTTTTTCTCCCCATCCAGTAAGTTAGGGCAGAGTGGGTGCACTCCAAGCCCCTTCAATTAAATTCTGCCATCTTGCTGGACTGATTGTGCCTTCTGTGTCGTGGCCCTGACCCTCTGGAACAGCATTCCTCCAGAGATTCAGATGGTGCCCACTCTCCTGAGCTTTCGGAAAGCCCTTAGACCTGATTCTATTCTCAGGCCTGGGATTAATGTAGGTGTGACTCATTGGCCAATAGATATACATACATACATACATACATACATACATACATATGCACGCA